TCTCCTTTTTGCATTTTCATTGCATATCCCTGAATGTCCCTTTTGTTTCTGTACGCTGAGAACAAAGGTAAAGTTAGAAATGCAGAAAGAGACAGGTTCTCTGCAGATATCTGTAACCTGTAGCTAACAGTTGTAAACTGCTGATGTAGATGCATAACTGAGTATCTGTAATGCACAAGCACATGGAACTATCCAAGTATGGTGGAATCATCTGTACTAAACTATTTTCAAGTGAAATACTTTCCACTCTATTCTTTATCTTCCCAACTAAACATGATTTTATAATATTTATTGTTATGTGTGTAATTTGAGTTGCAAAAACCTCATAGCGATTACATGACATGCTTATCAGTGCCACTGTATCTATAAATATGTTCTGTATGGTTGTCATCCCTCATTCCTGTTTCAGCTGGAGCTAATGAGAGAACACATATCAATATAAATAGTACCTGCATGAGGTTAGTCATGGTGGCTGAGCATCAAAAATGTGGAGGTTTGCACTATTTAAAAGTTTGGATGCTTATCTGAATCCCCCAGAATAGAATTTATTTTAATGGGTAGGAAATCTGATGAAGGCTACTTTTTATTAAAAAAAAAAAAAGAAATGTTTTGACATTTCTATCAGGAAAAAAAAAAAGGAAGTTGGAAAAATCACCAGATCTTTTTTTAGTCTTTTTCGTCCCCCCAAACTTCAGGGGTAGTTTGTGCATGATTTGAGTGAAGATTTGAGTTCATTCATGTTTCATCTAAACACACCTACCTGTTCTAACGTCTTGAGGGATTTCATTTAATTGTTCTTTGGACCTGGAGTATGACAGTGGTGCTAGCTGGGAGGATGCTGTGGCAGGACAGTTCCTCTCTGCAAACTCCTTGGTTGTGAGCGGAGACAGCCATTTTGCCACTGCGTTAGAAATGTTGTTACGCATTTTAGATCTGCAGAAGAAAGAAAGAGAATAAGGTGTTCCTGTTCTTCCTGGAAAGGCTTGGGGGTTTTGCTGATGAAGAGAGATTCAGAAAAGGCAGAATGGGGTTGTCAGTTGGAAGAACAGGCAGTCAACACTGAGCACAGCGTGAATAAAACGTCCCTCTGCTATTCAGCTGTGCCCCTCTGGGTTTTGCACTGTTGTAGGGAGCGGTGGAGAGCTGGGTTGGAACAGCCTTCCAAATACCATGACTTTGATGAGGTCCTGGGGAGAGCTATGTCTAAAAATAACGAGTAGAAATAATGCTTCAGCGATGAACTCACGAGACAATAGTGCTTCATATCTCGGTGTTGGGTTTGGTTTTTTATCTGCATTATGAAAATGATAGTTAAGAGTTACTGGGAAGAGTTGAAGTGTGCTTATGCCAGATTCTGGGAACTGAAGTTTGAAGAGCAATGAGAAAATGAGCGCCTCCGATTCAGTCAAGAGGTCTTATCAAATATATGAAACACAGTAGTGGTGAGATACTAATCAACCCCTAACTCCCTGTCTGTGGCTCCATCTGGCAAACTGTCCAAAAAGTAAATACGAGTGTCTAGACTAGGTTGCGTAGAGGCCCCATAAACCAGTATCGTAACTGTGACATTGGCCTGTGTCTAAGGGTGTAAACACCAACAAATTTAAACTGCCTCAACCTTTATCATGTGTTAGATTTTAGTCAACAGATTTTCAGGAGCTTCTTCATCAGGCAGATGGGTCTTGATCATGCTTAAGAGTTATCAAAGCATTCCTCCTGCATGGGGGATAATCCTTGGGTTTAATTTGATGTATCAAGAATTTAAAATACTGCTGACAGCTACAGAAGCTCTGAATGGTGCACCCTTCCAGAGAAAAGTTTCCATGACGACTCTGACCCTGACTTTCTTAGTCTGACAATTGTATAATACCTGCTGCTGGAAGTATGCACTTCCCTATGCACCATTAAATTAAAAGTCCTTCTTTAAAATAAATTGAATCTGAGGACGTTTAGAACTACAATTAAACACTGTGCCCTTCCAATTATTCCTTTTAGGGTAATCAAGAAAGTGCTGTAAGTGTTAGCAACAGAGGGAGAGTACAGTAATGGGCTGCTCTTTATGGCTTAGACTTTTAATAGATGACTAGTGACTTTATTTCTTGCTGAAGTAACAACATTTTATTGCCAAATATGTCTAAAGTAGAACACATAAGGCCCATTTGTTTTGAAAACAAAATTTATAAAATAAATATATTAATTGGTGAGTAACTTTGAATTATTAATAGTTTCTAGTTTTATAACTGTGCATCCTATAGTTTGGCAAAATGAATATGCATAAACCTAATATTAATGTTAGGTAGCATGATTATAAAAGGAAATTAATTATTAGATTGTTTCTCTCGGTAAATTACCTTCAGCAATCTCAATTGTAAATGTTGAAGTTTGCAGCAGTGAGGCTGAATATTCCAGTTTACTTACATGTATTTATAGATGTAGAAACAACTCTAAACCCAGGTTTTCTAAATAAATCCAAATTAGAGTTCCAAAAATTTGTAATTTTCTTTGTTATTTTCCTGATTAAATTCTAAGAACGTTGTATGTATAGGAGAGATTCCCAAAGTCTGATGCTGTGATCATGTTTCGCTGTCATTGTTCAGACTTTATATGAAGTCTCCACTCAAAAAACAGTCATCAAAAAAGACTGGATGTTCCACAAGCATTTTGGAGACCAACATGCAGGTGGCTGGCTTTCCAGTAGGGCATGCAGAGATATATATGCTTATTGCCTTGGTGTATGTAATCTACCTGGTCAGAAAGTAATTATTCATACGAACTAGAGTTGCTTTTATGAATTTCCCCTGGAATTTTATGAGAAGCTAGAGAGTTCATTTTGACATTTTACAAATTAAATTATTCAATTTCATTGGTTTAAAAAATGAGTAGATATCAAAAATGTTTTTACAAGAGATGTTTCCAAATCAGCTGACTAATTAATTTAATTTGAATAATCCTTCAGATTATATATCTATTCAGATTATTCTGATATTAACTTTACAAGTTGTTTTGGCTAAGGAAGAATTTTGAAAGTTTAATAAGTTTTTGTGCTTGAGAAATTATTTCCTCACCCACCCATATTCATAAATCTTACTAATTATGAGCTCCTAGCTATACTCAAAACATGCCATTCATATTTGTAACATGCTTACAATGTGAATTCATTCTTTTTCATTTGCCATGCTGTTTCAAAATGGGGTGTAAATAGAAAGCATAAGAGATACTTACAGAGTCCGATATTTATTATAGTTTATGACCTGTATTCGGGAAACGTGCTATAACAAGTACCTACTTCTAAGCAGGTGCTTACAGCTTGTTCAATTTAAGCAAATGCTTAAATTGTGCAATGCTGAATCAGAACTAAGGGACTCAACGGCAGAGGAAATCCCGTATATTTATTTTACGATATTAAAAACTATATTATTAAAATGGAATATCTGAACCGTGATACTTCTCACTGCTTTCTTTCATATTAAGGGAAGTTGTCCTTTCTCACAGTTTCCCCCCTTGATGACTTCAGTAAGTCATTTTCCTCTGGTTTCTTACACTTTTCTGCACTAGACACAGACTGCACTGAAAGAAGTTAAAATGGCCTTTATACTTCATTTGGTGTCAAATTCATTGGCCTGAGTCAAGTAAGATGCTATCAAACTCGATGATGTCACAAGGCTTTCAGCAGCAAAATCACCAGAAATTTTTTCAAAATATTGCTGAAGGTTCTTTGCTAAAATTTCAAATTTCAGTATAGAAAGACTGTATTTCCTTTATTTCTTATCGACACTTCCCTGAAATCACTTCCTTCTGAAATTTGGCTCCGCACCAATTGCTGTCCAAAAGCTGCTGGTGGCATAACGAAGTGCTGCTGCTGCTGACCGAGCCCTTGACCTTGCTGGGCGGTTTCCAGGGCCTTTGTAGGTTTGCTGCTGGAGATGCATCTGCTGGGGAGAAAAAGGAAGAAGGGACGGAAGGAAAGAAAGAATTAAAATAGTATTGTGGAGTTATTTCTTGTGATCATTTAAAACGGATAGTCTTGGACAATGTAGCTTATCAAAAAATGGAGACTGATAAAAGACCTTAAATATATTTTGCTAACAGTTTTTGCCCAGCTGAGACATCTGTTTGCAGAAGGTAAAAGAAATATTTAAAATAAAGTTTGCTGCCTCATATCCTCAGTCATGTACAGAACTTTAAAACTCAGTTAAAATGGAGACTGATAAAAGACCTTAAATGTATTTTGCTAACAGTTTTTGCCCAGCTGAGATATCTGTTTGCAGAAGGTAAAAGAAATATTTAAAATAAAGTTTGCTGCCTCATATCCTCAGTCATGTACAGGACTTTAAAACTCACTTTGCCAATATAGTGTGGCAGAAACAGAAAGCCTTTATTAATGGTGCAGTTACCTCCGGAATATTGCAAGTGATTCATCTAGTGGTATTCCTAGCTCTGACATAGTGAATCATAGTATAATATGTCAAAAACACAGCCTCAGATACGGTACTGATGTTTTTTTCCAGGTTTAAGCATGTAAGCAAAAGCTGGTCTATACAAGATACTGGGTTATAGGTCAACTCTAATCAGCTGCTAGCAGAAATCTTTCATTCTTCAACACTTTTTATAGCCAACAGGGGCTAATGCCTGCTGTATTTGCCAAAATCTTTGTTCCAAATCAGAGCAAAATGCTTTTTTAATATTCAGGCCTACTTGCAAGCTATTGTTAAATATGTAATAGATGATCTTACAAAATTCTGCACTAAAACAACTGGCATGCTATTATAGTAGTCTGAGAATAGAAGATATTTTAAACAGAAGAGCTCTTTTTTTCCTTTCTTAAGCCTCGCCAGAAAATGACCACTGCGTTGAAATATTAGACACTAGTGAATTAGCTCAGCTGGTTAATCTAATACGGTGAAGTTTTGAACAAAGGGAACCATGGCTATAAAAATATCATGGCTATAGGAGAAGATCAAACTACCTCTTTCTTCTCTGAATTTTATTTCTCTCTGCAGGAAACAAACAAAGCAAATTCATGAACAGCTGAAAGAAACACAGAATAGGAAAACCTACAGCCTAAATGCTTCCAGCATGATGGCAAAGTCAGAGTGTATGGCACAAAGCCGAGTCCAGCTGCAAAATGTAAGTAATCCTGCCAGCTACAACACTTAATAGCCTGGCCGAGTTCCTGCTGCTGATGGCAGCACATCGCCGTGTTGCTATTAGCATCTGAGCAATGGGAACAAGAATTCTCACCTCTTTCATAAAATGTTTTCTGTCAGGCCTGTTAATGGAAAACACCAAGCAGGGATTTTTTTCTCATTTCAGTGGATCCTGGTACATTTTGTTCATGTAATAGACCTTGGTGAGCCCCCTAGCTCTGCATCCAGCAGCAGTGGAAATTACTATTATTGTTTCCAGCAATACCTTAGCTGCTAGGTACAGTTTATAGGTGAAGTGGGGGTCCTTGATCTTAAGTGATTTCAAGTCTTCCAATAATTAATGAACCTGCATGAAAAAATGTGGAGATTTGTCACAGTTGATTCAGAGTAAATTCAAAATCTAGAACTAAATTTACACATGTAAACTAGTGCCCAAGGGAAGACTGTGCGGATGGTCTCATTTTCCTGGGTCTTCAGTGAAAGGGATTTTTGATACCAGAAAGAGGTTAGTTTGTTCAAATTAAATTTGAAATTTATTTAGTCATTTTCTGTATGTAGTTACATGTAGGTTAATACAATCCCACAATCATGAAATACGTAAAGCGTATTTGAAATAAGGAACTTGAAGGCGACCGATTTATTTAGCCCCGGCTGCAAGGTATTTTCCAATGCATGTCATTCTCTTCGCCGTGGACATACACATTTAGCGCTGTCTTATTTTGAACAAAGTCTTTGGAACAACTGAGAAGGATCCTGGTAGCAATGTAATCGGAAATTGTAAAAGATGTATTGAAGCCTTTCTAAATACTGAACTCTCTTAAAAAAAAAAAAAAAGTATCTTAGATTTGCTTAAGGGGCTGACGACCTTATTTGCCAGATTCCATCAAAATAATGGGAGCTTAGCAAAAGTGAGCACTCCTGCCCGCTTAGCCACAGATGTCTCAACTCCTGGTTTACATCCAATTAATGTAGAAATAAGGATAAGCCCTTTTAACCAATTCAGAGTAAGCAGAGCCTCCATGCTATGACAGAGGAGTTGTCAGAGCATTGCTTGTGTTCACTAAAAGTCTTGTTTTATAGGAGCATCGCTGTGGTCATGACATGCTTTGTGGTTCAGGAAAAATACGCTATTTCAAGAAGGAAGATAGCTCCACTACATCGACATAATCACAGTTTAGGGAACCTTGTGCAATTCTTTGTTTCACTTTCAGTTCATTCAGTCATATATTCCTTCTAGCCCCTAAAAAAAAGCTGTTGGGAGTGTTGTTGGGTTGTAACGATGGCAACAAAAGGAAAAGTTGTGAAGAGCTTTTGTGATCCTTTTGTTCTAACATATAAAGTAGGTCTTGGTTAACGCTAAGAATATGTTCCTTGCCTTTTTCTCACTGTAATTCAGTGCAATATTTTGTCAACCCATCATCATGATGAACAGTTTGATGTCTTCGGAGCAGCTGACAAACACATCAACAAGCTTTATTTAAGTCTTTTTCTTTTGCCATGACAATAGCCGTAATGGCTGAAGTAGCAGTTTGTAGATTCCAGATATTAGAGATTAAAAACCATTATTATTATTTACTATTTTAATCCAAATTTGCTTTTCAGCTTTTAATGCTGTTCAGACTGGCATTATCAGTGCTGGTAATTAACACACCGTTTTCTTGTTCTTGTGGCTGCTTGCAGGCAGCTGTTTTCTCCTTGCCATTAATGCATTTTCCCTCTGGGAGCAAAGATACTAAGGAAGAAAAACAGAATGACCTCGTGCGGGATGTAGCGTAACAGTGCAGGGTAATAATGGTTTCTATTGTTAGCAAGATTTTAGTGCAGGAATGCATGCAGGCAGTTCATTAAATATTTACAAAACTTGGCAGATTGAAGGGGGAAAAAAAGGGCAGGGGGTATGGCGAGGCAGCAGAAAAGAACTTTGGAATGGTATTTCGCAGGAATGGCTGAATGGCTCCCCGTCAGAGACCAGAGGTCTGCCCCGGGCGTATCTGCTGGGTATTTCGCACAACAGAAAGAGGGAGAAGAGCATTAGAGAAAAATTTGAAGATCTGTTATTTTATCTGTAGAAATCAGTCATAAGAAGTCTGAGTAGGATGGACTAAAATTGCATGTAACCCATTTTTAAACAAGTAATCTTGTATGACTTTCCTTTTTGATTTTGCTGAAGTCTGGGGAAATGTCGATAAGAATAAGTGAGAATCGGAAAATAATTCTGTATTTTTAAGGAGTTATTGGTCTTTTGTTAGACAACAAAATAATTATGAAAAAGAACTGTACTTTAAAAGAAATCTTACTATCTTCTCCACGAATGTTTATGCTCTTGTATCATAGCATGGCATTTTTTACCACCGTGATTTTCTTTGTATTATTATTGTTTGAATTGTGTTTTCTTTCTAAAATATTTAATCATGTAGTAGCTTCCACGATACCAGTTTATTGTAAAGATAACATGGATATCTAGGTATCTAGTACTAAAAATACAAACTCAATACAGAAAGAAATGGATTAAAGAAAAATCGACCAATTAGTTTTAGTGCAGGTCATTGTAATGCAACATGAAAAATCCGCAAAGTGCAGTATTTTTCGTACCCGAGTGGAAATGTGGGTTAACCTCTCATATCTCTGAGATATTGCCCAGTAACCACTAACAACATTGATTCTTCTTCCAAGCCAAAATGCAGCTTTTTTTATACTTTGACTTTCTGGCTCCATTCAGGATCAGAGACACAATTTTTGCTGAACTTCCAGTTGAATCGCAAAGCAAGAAGAAGAAAAGCTGTTCTTGTTGATGTCTGGTGTCTCCCTGTGTGCCCAGAGACTGCCCTACGCCTACAACTGTCGCAAGAAGGATTATGTTTACGCTGTTCTTACTAGCATAGATACTCCCAGGTCAAAAGTTTCAGGCTTGTTCAGAAGGGATATCTGGCTCTACGGATAGGATTCAAATGTTTCTCTTACGTATCTGATGATAGAGATGCTGTTTCAGTTTGGTTTTCATAGTTACGCGTGCTGATAAAAGCAGTGTTTGACTGAAATCACCGAAGGACCCAAGAAGGTGCTGACCGTCCTCTGAGATGTGTTTCGTGATCTCAGTCTCTGCATGGACAGCCACAAAAACAAGCTTTTGTTCAAAGGAATCAGTGTTCCCTATCATTATGGGCAGATCAGTCAGTAATTTTGCTGCTAATGCAGATATCAGCATTTTGGTGTGGAGAAGGTAATGGGGATAATGAGTACCGGTGCTTTCCGCTATGTAAACAATAGTGAGTTAATGTATTACTTGCAATGCCTGATTTTATTTCAAAAATGCATTAGAGCACTTCTTACCCCACTCCGATACGAATTCTGATTGAATAGCATCAACAATGTACTTTGCCTTTTATATATTAACTAATTTTATTCTCTGTGCCACAGTATTCAAAAACAGACAGGCATCCTGGGCCTATTTTGGACAAAGTTATGGAGTCTAGTTTTTCAGGCCCTCAGTCTTTCCCAGAGGCCTTGTCTCCCGACAGAGGAACCCAGCCCATCAAGCAACATAGGTAAGCAAACGGCCGTCTGATGGGAGATCTGGCAGGCTGCTGAGGGGTGTCGTTGAACCGGTGATATGTGTGCAGGATTATTGTGCGCTGTGACTAGGAGAGATGCTGAATGATACGGTACCAGCAGAGCCTCAGCCGACTTATTAAGCAGATGTCCAAGCATTTTCTTAGCTGCAGACATAAAAGGCAATAACAATGCTCACCGAATTTATCTCTGTTTTGTGAAAGTCCTAGAGGAAGCATTTAAAGACACCATCCAAGCTGTAGACACAGACCAGTGAATGAAACAGCCATAGTTTGAGAAACCATTAAAAACAAGACTTTCCCGATCGATGTTCACGAAGTTAATGACTCATTTGCTGCGGAAAGACATGGTTGCAAACTTCCAGCCTTTCTCACTGTTTCTTTAAACAAATAATACTTGAAATGAATAATGACTTATTTATGAACACATGGTGGCCTTTGAAAACTCGTCTTTAAAAAGTTTGGATGGTTGTTTCCAAGAGGAAAAAAAGAGGAAAGTCACCCATCACTGGATGGCATTTGGATTAGAATTCTGCTTATAGTCTTTTTGGATGAAAAAGAGTGCAGATGCTTCATTACGGGACTAGAAAGCAAACTCACGTCTGGTATAAGCAACAGTGTTGGTGGGATGGCAGTGGTAACGTCTGGTCCAGAGCACACTGAGAACAAAGGCTGAGAAAAATGAGTTCAGAATTTTTTTAGCTAGATAATCTGGAGGGGAAGACTTATTTATTAAAAGGATGATTTTTTAAAATTACTAAAAAAAAAAAGTCTGGGATCGCGTGAGGTTGTGGTCTAGCTTCTGTAGTATTTGGTGCATTTTCATTGCAGTCCCCAGTCAGCTACATCTTCCTTCTCTTTTGAATGAATCATTTGCTTAACCTACCAAAGTGCAGCATATGAGCCAGGAAGGGATATTTGGGTCCTATCTACTTTTACCTTACTTAAGCCTGTAATTTGGCATGAAAAAGTAATGCCAACTGTCACGTCAGATCCATTTCTTAGGGCTTATTCTTTATTACACAGAGATTTTCAAAATAAACTTAATAATTTGATGAACTATGGAACTGTTGCCTAGAATGCTTTCCACTGAAGTTCTGGGGGGAATTTTATCTCCATTTAGTCAAAAGGTGAAGTTCAGAAAAAACACAGTGACATTCCCTTACCTTTAATAACGTGATTGCAATATCCAAGTTTGAAATGTTTTAGGTGCTGTGCCATGACATTACCTAAGCTTAAAAATGTGGAAATTAATACAGACTGAAAATATTTCTTCTGTTTATGAACATCACTTAAAATAAAAGCTGAATGACTCTCTGGACTCCCTGTTTTCCATAGGGAAATTACAGAATAAGGCACACTGAATTAACAGTGAACTAATGCAGAATCCCAGATTGCTCATTTTAACACCTTTGCACACAAAATCTCTCTTTCCCAGGGGGGGGGAAAAACCCCAAACAATAAACAAACCCAAAAAACCAAACAACAGTCATCTTATTTGCAGATGTCAAGCATCGGACTATCTTAAGAGTCTTTGCTTCAGAACTGTTTTAAGATGTGGAATGACTAGCTTAATTTATAAATAATTCTTTTTGTAGTTTTATAACTTAAGATTTATTATACAAGGCCCTTCCTTTATAAAACATGCAACAGATTTGAACATTTAAGACTTATAAGGCTGTCTTTAATTTATGCACCATGTGATGGCTTCCTAATTTACTGGGTTTCTTTAGTTTCTAAGTAGTGTTCAATGTGGCCAAATGAGGAAACTTCTTTTTTTACTGGGATACATTTTGTCCTAAATATCCCTTCATTTCATTCCAAACCTGACGTGAGCCTGGAAAAATTGCAGCAGCTCTGCAGGTTCTCTGTTTTATGCTGCTGTTAAACTATATTACTGCTTTGTTTCTGCTTGCTACGGAAGTATTTTGATCTGCGTCCAGACCTGTTTGCTGGTGTTTTCAAGGGCACTAATGATGGGAGATTATTTCTTAAAATCAGGAGCTGTCTGTTTCCAGTTCCTAAACCCAATACAATTTTGGCCTGGCAGTAAGATTATCGAGATGGAAAATCATTTGGGGTTGCTGAAATTTGACTGACAGAGATCACCTAGTTATTTCACTCAGATTACTAGGTAATAGCAATTTTCTGTCTCTGCCAACCTTAGCTGCATGCAAAGAATTACTGCAGAGGTTGAACTGAAAATTTGAATCTCCACTGAATCTTAGTCCTAAAATATTTCACCTGTATTATGCACTGTTATTATGGTAGAAGAATTTTACATCATCTGCTTGCGTATGTAGAACAACTCTTAGTACTGTCAGAACTGGAAAGTAACAAATGCGTTGAATCAGTAAACTTCCTGTAAAGTATACCATGTGCTCAAAAATTCATCTTGGATTATGTGTTGATTTTAGTAAGAAGAAAACCCATGCTGTCTTAATTTCTGAAAGATAGAAACAAATTAGAGTTTTGTTAATTATGGGATTGAGTTGTGATCCCTTTGAATAGCAGTTTTCTTGGTAATTAGTCATCCTGACTTTCATTCATTGATTCAGTCATCATTGATTTTAGAGGGATTCCTTTCAGAGAATACCGTGTTGAAAGCCAAATGCAGAGGCTTTCAGCCTAGAGCAGTTGTATTGTCTTACAAAAATGCCAAAAGAGGATAAACTTACTTTAAAATGTTAAATAATTCGTGTTTGCATTTTAATGAACTTTCAACACCATGAAAACCACGGTAAAAACAATTTTTTTTATTTAGTAAGCATTTTACTCTTTCTGCTCCCAATATAATTGATTCAGTTTAAATTAAGAGTACGGTTATTCTGTAAATAAGGCTATTGAATTTCAAAGAACAAGTATTGATAAACTAAAGCAACTAAGAAAGTAAAGGCAGAGGAAGCCTGAAAGGGAGAAAGTATAAGGAATCTGATACTTTCCCAAGGAAAGAACATAGTTTTCTGGAGAAATTTACTAAAAAAGAATGCCTAAAAGGAATGGGGTATAGGGGAAGAAACAAACAATATCACAGAGGGCAAGAAGTCATGCTTGAAGTCAACATTTCCAGGAATCATTGAGAGTTAAGAATTACTGGTAATACTGAAAGCAATCAATTGTTCTTGCTGTATAAACAAGAAGAGTACTATACAGAAAGAAGCAAAGCTGATGGTGGGACAGAGATGATACATGAAGCAGTTAGGGCAATCCTGAATGAATATATTTCATTTTTCAGTTTGGATCATTATTTGAGGATGAAGGTTGAATGGGAATAGAACCAAATGTATTAAAATAGACATTACTACAGTCAAAGTGGAAGTAAAATGCAGAAATCAAAGCCCTCAAGTCAAGATGGTCTGGTTAATCTTGATCGAAGAAGTCTGGAAGGAGAACTGGCTCATGAAATTTCAAGTCTGGTAGCAAAATCTATCAAAATGGGAGCCATGCCACGTGATGATGGAATAGCAAATGTCAAATATTTAGGAATAGGAAAAATTTATGGAAGAAACTGAAGACCTGTTATGGTGAATTAGAGTAGTCAAGGCTTTAGGACAAATGCGGGGGAAGCAGATTCTTTGGATAGATGCATAAAAGGCTAAAAATTATCATGAGGTTTACCAGCAGCAGTTCCTGCAACACTACACTGATGACTTACTTTGTATTTGGTGTAGGTGAGCTAGGTCTCAGCACAGCCTCAGGCAACGTTTGATTTGTTGTCACGTGTCTAATGCCTTTAATGGGAGAAAGTAGAGAGAGGCAGAAAAACTATAATGCAGATACACAGAGGTGGTTAAAAGGGAGACAGTAAGGAGTTACGTTGAGAAGGTAAGTGCTGGGCTGAAGACATTCACCAGTAGAGCACTAATGGAGGTCTCAAAGAATTAGTCACCGTTGGGGACAAATTTTGTTTAATGCTTTTGTGCATGACTTTGACGCAAAAAAGTTGGAACATACTGAAAAAAATTAGTTAAAAGATAGACTCAGTACAGAGAAGGATCTAGATATAAACAATGACTTGAATAACTTTGAAGAGTGGCATAACAGAGGTGGATTGAAGCTCAGCAGTACTAAATACAAGGTCAGGCATTTGGGAACTAATAACAAAATTTAAGAAACAAATGAGGAAGAAAAGGTTCAGTATATACTACTTGGTCAAAGGATAACCAAGTCACAAAGTGATGCAGCTGTGCAAAAGGTAAACGGGATGAGAGGAAGTATTAATCCAGACATTTCCATCAGAAAGTCAGAAACATTAAAACCACTTCATGAGACACTGTTGTCACTTCATTTGAATATAGCAGGAGAATGCACCACGATTATCTCACCTGGTTAAAATGGCCTGCTGATTACTACGGACTCAGATTGCATTCATGAGCTAACATGAGGAATGAATAATCTGTGTTCCATAGGAAGTGTTAGACAGTCTGTCTCGTTTCAGTCTTCAGTTCAGAAGACTGAAAAGAGTATATGACTGCTGCTTATAAATACATCAGAGAAAGCATAATGAGAAGCAGAAGGCCTATTTAAAATGAAGGAGTATGGTGGCACATATGACAAATAGATGTATACTCACCATAAATAATTTTAAACTGAAAAGAAGCCTCAAAGTTTTCAATATAGAACAACTTTCTGGAGTAGTAGCCTGGTTCTCATTGTAGTTTTAGGATGGAGGTTGATCAATGCAGTACAGGGAGTGTATGATGAAGTTATGGCAGATGGTTAAGCTCAGTCCCACTGAAGTACCTTCGAATGCTCTGTTCCCTTTTCCTATTGTATGTATCTATCCTCTGGAAACCGGGATGGTGACCAGATGATATAGGTAGTGTTGAAGGATTTATGTAGAGTTGCAAAGTCCCTGATCATCCCTGGCACATGCTATATTCCTGAATACGTGAATATACAATGGAAGCAACAATGCTCCCATTTCAGAAATCAAGAGTAGATTTGTAGGTATAGGCTGGCTGCTGGAAAGCTTCTCCTGCATATGTGGAGGGAGAAAGTTTTGCAAACAGCAGGCTACAGTCCCACTCCATCACCTGGGCTGAGAACCTGACCAGCTGTAACGGTTCGTAAACACGAGCTAGGAAACGCAGGGCATCGTGCCATTGTAGATTAGGTATTTCCCTAGACAGTAATGGTGTACTGAGACAGTGCATGATTACTTTGCAAAGACACGGGAAAAGAGTGATGTTTAAATGCTTGGGATACAAGGCGCTATAGAGAAAAAAGGGATAAAACTGTTAAGTTCCGTTCTCTCATGCCATGGCTATTTTGGCATAATAATCTCCTTACAATCTTAGTATTATTTTAATCACATCCAGCTTTGTTGAAGTCCCAAACATTATGTTAACTTTCTCGCTTTGGAGAGCCAAGGCTCCAACAGAGACGTGCTCATTGTGTGTCATCTCGTTCTTGTAAACAGTCTAACAAAAGGGCTTCGTGATACAGCGTTGTTATTGTTGCATGGTATTTATTGAGAGATGCTGATGTTCTCAGGTATAACAGACCCTTTTTATTAAAACTGAAAATTGGTTGAAAGTCTGAATAGTTGATCTGTACAAATGTTAGCAGTAGATTGCCTAACTTAGCCTAAACGTGCGGCTCCTAGGGAACATCAGAAGACGCTGTCTATCTGGCAGCTAGCTCTGTCATTGGGGTGTCTATTTACTGTTTCTGTCCTGCAAGGACAAAGCCCATGTCTTCAACACTAATGTTTGCATCTCGTGACCAGTGGGTAATATAGTATGTAATATAATATGCCTCTCTCTATAGTTTTTGCAGGTTCAGAGCCAGAGTATTTACAATCAATTTTAGAACTTTCCTTCCTCCCTCAACTTTGCATCTTTCTTTTCATGAATTACAATCATGAAAAAAGGGGAAAGAACAAGTAGAATAGATATACACACAACCATGGTTATAAGCACTATTTCTGTAGCTCCACTGTGCTTATTAAACGAGAAGGGAAGGGTTGGGATCTAAAGTTTTAACACTTTAATTGTCATCTTCTTGTTAATGCTTTTCATGTTCCTGTTGACAAAGTTACTTCTGAATGTGTTCATAATGTGATGTATAACCAATTTTGTTTAGTAATTAACTAAAAAGTAGTACAGGAGGATTCCCAGAGTTACTGTAAATTCACTGCAAGTCTTCTCCTCTTCATGAACACGGTTAACTGCACTTGGGAGTTGTGTTATGTGCCTTGAGAAGAGAATACTCCACCTGCTGAGACAGACTTTGTTTTTACTCGGTTGCTCAACCTAAAGAAAATTTTCACGCAAAAACAATTTGCAACAATGAATCCCAAGTTCTTAATTAACTTTAGAGATGCTTGAACTGCTTCTTTCAAACCATTAATTCATCAGAATGTATTTATCCCTAGTTTATGCATTACTTGTGAACCAGTTCAAGCATACTCTGATTTTTGTTACTCTGGAGTAATTGATTAATAGATTTTAAAGACATATCTGCCACAGCTTTCCTTATTGGTCTGTTTTGTTGAACAGCTCAGTTATGTGGGCTGGTTTCTTTTACCCAGTTAGACTGGAGTACCGGGAGGAAGAAACCGTAATGGTGGCTAAAGGAGGATAAATTGCCTGAAGAACTCCAAAAGGCATTGTTTGCTTCAGAGAGAGGAACGCTTCACGTGAGCAATAGAGCAGGAGCCTGAGAAGGACTGTATTAACAATTTTGGAGGAAGAGTAGGCTGACGTTCATGGCAGTTTTGTGAAAAAGGAAAAACTTTATTATGCTGGAGTTATTTTTTCATCGAACTTTTAACAAAAAGTGTTACTATCTTGTCTTTGGTGCTTCGGAAATGAGCGTTATCATGCAGCTTGCTTGCAGCTGCACTGTCTGTAAATATTTCCTGGTCCTTCTTAGTGAATTTGTCTTGTCCATGACCACAAATGACCTTTGTTCACTTTCCCCTCCGTTTTTTCTGTCAGAAGTGTTGAATGAACCTCACATGAGCAACAAATAAGCTCTGTCGGTGCTGGAGCTGCTGTGATTGCAGGAAGATGTTGGCATGTGCCAGATCCCTTCACTCTAACCAGCCCACGCACCTTTAGCAGCCTGTAGCGTCTAGCGTTCGATGTAGCAAGGGGAGTTTCAGTGCGAGGTGAAGGCAGTACAGATAGGGCATTTATATGCCTCTTTGCCGCAGGCTACGCCAGTTATCTCAGGTACACCTGTATGGGTTGCAATTACAGCTATCACAAAAGCAGAGCTTTTGTGAATTTGCATGTGCCATGTTACCAGATGGGAGACCCTGTGCTCTCATCCAACAAGGAAGATGTGCGAGGGCATCAAACCAACCACAATTAAGCAATGCCTTTCTAGTTTCAAATATTTGCAATCAGTCTAAAGTCTGTTAAGTTAATCAGTTTGTTGACTTTTCTCGTACATTGATGAATATACTGCAATCAATAAAAACCCCTGAAATTCATTATCCATCACAAATTATTCATTCAGCTGCATCTTTTAAGATCCCCTGCTGTAATAATCTCAGACTCTCCTGAGCAGAAATTGCCAATTGTTTTGTGACGTGGTAGTGTTATTTTACAGGATATGAACTCTAACTCACAACTTGAACTCAGCCTTCGGAATTGAAACTTCAGGGTTTTTAAAAAAAGTTTTTCGCAGCCTCCTTAATAGCTGAGGAAAAATGTATTTAAGGAAGCATCAAAAATCCTTGAGGGAGTGCTATTGCTATGGATTATTGATCTTTCCAATTAAAAAGCACCAGGAAAGTAAAAGTGTGGAAGAGAACAGAGCGGAGACCGTGATGGAACACCGCTAGCCTGAGCAGTAGGATAGAGACTGTTGAATTCCTTTCTTATGTTTTGACTTTGGGGAGAAAAGGTCGGGTTTAATGGAAGTGTACGCTCCAAGAGAATTTGTCCAACGTAGTTGGTCCAAGCAAGAATTGCTTTGGGAGTAGATGTGGCCCTAACTATAAATAAAGTTCCCGCTAGGTATAAAATGCAGATTGCTTGTAAAGTCACATTATAATAGGAAAAGAGAAGCAAACTTATCAAAAGTCTTTTGCATAGCTGAATTGTATCAGAAGTTGAAATTATTCACCTAACCAAAAATAATGATTCTTAAAATTCATCTACAAAACCTATATTAAAACATCATTAAGGATGTGACAGAATATTAGGTACTACATACACATTTCTGAGACCCAGGAGATGTCAAGAGAAATAGGAGTAGCTGGAAAACGAATAGCCAGTCACACCGTGCAGTACGGTGACCTGTTAACAGTAGAAATAGGTTATGTCTTGCCTTAATTCTCTGTTCCCTTATTTTTGCATTAGCAACAGCTGAATTTATGGTTAATATACCAAAACTATGGATTCTAGACACCTTTTAATTCCTGCACGAAATGGAAAAAATCCATTCTCCTTCCGAAACAGTACAAAAATGTTGTTTACAAAAGCAATTTTCTAAAATAAGTGGAAAACTATTATTTGTTTTTATCACATTCAAGTTTGTACTATATTGCATAAAGAAACAACACAGTATTTATCTATGTATAAAGAAAAAAGCAATCAATGTATATAAAACAAGAATAAAACAATATAGAAAAGAAATCTTGTTCAACGTGGAGAAAACTTGTGTCATAGATGATTTCTTCAAGAGGCAGTTCATAAGCTTCACTTACATTCTTCACTTACATTTTTTCCCAATTTAATGTATCAGGAAGCAGCACTCCGTAGGCTGATAGATGATACAGTGGGCTCTAAATCTAAGATACGATTTTGAGCTCATACCTCTAAATCTAAGATACGATTTTGAGCTCAGCTGTAGGTATGATGGAGCTGTGCTGTTTACTTGTACTGTCTGAGGAGTCAACGCAATGTAGCAAGATTATGGTATGCAGCATGGAAAGAGAAGCAGCATCCTTCATCAAGTACAAGAAAACATTTAATACACCAGGCAATTATTTTCGTTCCTAGAAGAGAGGTGACGCATTAAAACCGGCATAAACAGCAGCTAACTTTGGATTATAGTACTGTATTTCCATAGAGAATTTCTACTGATGTCATAGACCGCCACAGCAAAGTTTATAGGAACAGTAATCCATGCGTTATTAATCCTGACTCTTTGCTTTGCAGAAGTTTACGCTTTTGCTGTGATAATTTTTACTGTACTCTTGGTGTTGTTCCTAGAAGTCTCTCTTCATGCTGCAGCCCAGGACAAAAAAGCGGGATGCTACATAGAAATGCCTTTCGGAGGACTCCTCCCTTACCTCGGGGTAGGTTCAATGGAATTACAGGACCAGCATATCAACAGCTAGAAGAGTCAAGGATCACAGACCAGGACACAATACCTTGTCACGGGTAAGCACTAACATAACGGAAGTGAGCCAGTGTTTGGGTGGCTGCTGTTACGTGGCTGATATGCTTTGCCATTACAGTCCTTCCAACTTTGTTGTAGTGTACTGTGGATCCAGGCTTTATAGTACTGAAAGCAGAAGAATGTTTTCAGCGTACTGGCTCTTTGAAGGTAATACGTTTTTATTTGGCTGGCTGCTCTTTTTAAGCCTTTCAAAGGAAGGAGTGATCAGAACAAACTGTAAGTGATTGGCAACATTCCTCTTCATAACTGATGCTTTTTCTAGTGGTGCCGTGATGTGCAGTTCTAGTAACTTTTGCATAGCATTTTCTTCTTCCATCAGCACTGGGCAAGTAAGAGAAAATAATTCAGAAGTCCCAACTTTCATGTTTTTTTAAATCAATCTATGTACATTGCAAAGTGTGTTTGCTGTAGACTGAAGACCAATCACTTCACACAGGTTTGTCTTTGAAAACGCACAAAGAATCCAATATTTTTCCTTTTTTAATTCAGCTTATTAGAATATTGAATGTGAGCTCCAGCTCTACATAAGGTCTGAATTTCGGAAGTGCTCCTGAGCACCTACAGCTGCCTTTGAAGTCTTTTGCAATTGCTGAGATATTTTGCATAATATTTACATATCCCTATGGATTTCCAAAGACTCTCCAGAATCACTACAAACGCATTATGTGCAAAACTAGGAGCAATATCTGGAATAGAATAAAACAACACCAGTTTCATTTGGACACGTGTAAGTGACAACTAAGTGCAGCGAAGTGAGCAGTTACACTGCGAGAAGGCAGCTGCCCGTTTTGGTACCAGGCTGGCTTTATGAAGTGCAGAACTGAGGTCACCTACGTGTTTAATTTTCCTCAGGGAAGAAAGGCGCTATTACCACTACCCACTCTGACGTCCTGGGAAACGACGGCCCCGAGTGCTGACCGAGAATAAGCGTCGTTACACGTGTGTGTCGTTGCACGTGTGGGCACACGCGCAGACACACATTCCCCCCGCGCCTCCCTCGCCACGCTTTCCAACCTGCAGCCCGATCGCCCGGTCCAGGGTACTCTGTGAGAGGGCGACTTGGCTCACTAGATGTTTTGTAGCTGAATCTACCTAACAAAGTTGGCCACAGTAATTAGGAAAGAGAGACCAAGAACAGGGCTTACCTAAGAAGGGAGAAAGCGAAGCGGCAAAAGGTTTGGGTGTCCGGTGACTTCTTCGAAATAGTACAAATTTGTCTCATACTTCTTTCGTTGTTGCTATTTGCTGCTTCTAAGGAAAAACTTGTTTATTACTTCTTGCTATATTATTGTTTGTTTATATGATAATGTGTGTATAATTCCTTTACGAAAATTGTGACTCCAAAGCCAACCCTTCCTGAAAGGGGCAGGCTAACAGCCTTCCCTCTTCAACAGCAGTGTCTTGCCACGCGGGCTCTGCCCATTCCTAGGTTGAGAAGTGAGGTAGAAACCAGCAAAGCTGTCTTGTTGGGTAGTTGTATTTACTCTTCTCTAGGAAATCAGTGTGTGATATTACAAGCATCATCTTGTACTGGCCTATATTTTAAATTTGCAGTTCTGCAAAAGGTTGATATTTGGACCAGACTGTGACCCCTTCTGGCCTCAATCCACTGAAGCACTTCGTCCACATTTTGTGCGCTAGGGATGTCTGTAGAATTACACCTTCCTAATATCGACTCTAACGATGGGACCTTTCTCTGAAGGAGTCCTCTGAGTGCCTCAACAGGTGGTGGTGTGACAGGGAGTCACGGCAGTCTGTGTATATCACGGATACCATACCAAAAGTCTTCAACTAGTACCCATGGAAATGAATTTTTAAAATGTCAATGTTAGGCATGAAAACAAAAGCAATTCTTTGACCTTGTTTTATTACGATGTTTTACTGATGATGTTTTTTATGAAAATGAAGTATTTCAAGAGTGTAACAGAACTTTTTGCAAGTTATTTTGTGTTGCAGCGATGATACTTATATACAAAATATAAGTAAGCATCTTATTTCTGAACAGAAATAAAAAATAATTCACTAATTCTACTTTATGTGGAATTCTTCTAACTTAGGAAGAGGTTTCCCCAAAATCAGATGGCTTTTTACCATCTAAATATCTGCTAGTTTCATAGTGTCAGTATTCTCATTAGATTTCCAGCCCAAATGAAAAGTTCCCTTGTTCCCTGCAGAAGTTACGCTCCTTCCTTTCTTCTCCCTTTTCACCTCCATCTTCCCCTACAGGGATGCACAAATCAAAGTGGTTTATCTCCCTAATTCTGTGAGCCTTCTGAAGTTCATCCATCAGCAGCTCTGGCTGAAGTTTAGTCAGATTTTGTATGTTAATATATGATGGAAAAGAGGCTAATTTACCTGATTAGTTTTTGTCTAGTCCTGTAAAAGTGCTCCAGTTCCCATCCCACATTGAGAAGGAAGCTTGTGCTGCCTCCAAGAAACACCAGATCTCATTATTTGCAACAGGATCCAATATTTGCAGAGTTTGAGTCAAATACAGCTAATACCAGTTATTTAATCAGTATGCTACTTGAAGGAGTAGAAAAACCTGCTTGAAATGAGGGGCTTAAAGAAAACAAGCCGTCTCCATGCCAGTCACATCTCGGAGACCGATTCGAGTCCCTGAGGGTGTCAGGAGCTTACCCGCAGCTAAGTGGACAGCAGTTTGATCGCATGCTTGCAGTGACAGCTGTTTGCGTTACACGGTATGAAGGGTTGGAAGCAGTGCCTCACAGCCTGTGAATGTGTATCTATACAGATATCAGTGTGTCTACGTATACAAGACCCAATGTGTCATATCTACAGGCAGAAAATGGGGGGGGTGTATGCAGGTGTATGTGCTTACAGGGCTGAACCAAAGCCTGGTAATGCCGCTGGAAGGGCTCCCATTCATCTCAGCGGACCTTGTCGTCAGGCTCGTATACTGAACACCTACAGCAACAGGGTTTATAGCAAAGCTATTGGTACGACGCTAAATAAAAACCATTCTGTATTTTAAGTTCCGATCCCTTCTGTCGCTCTTTACTATCTATTTTAAGGGGGCAGTAAAATTATTATGCGTCTTTCAGTTTCATTCTTTAATTTAGACTCTTAAACACTGTATAACATAATTACTGTTGCATATTTATAAATGTTTGAGTTTCTTTTTTTGCTTGGTTTTAGGAAGAGGGTGGAGAGAGAGCTGCACTTTGAAATACGTGCACATGAATGAATTTATTCAGACAAAATAATTTTTCAGATTACAAAAACAGATATCCTTCTTAGGAGGAACTACAGTTCTAGGAAAGTTAATTATAGGAAAATGCAATTAAGATTCTGCAATTATAGGTCTAAGTTTCAGTCTATTGAAAACGGCGGCAGTCTGGTGTCACGAGTAGAAGCATGGATCAGTTTGTAATTAACCAAAAGCTGGGTCTCACACGGTTTAGATGCAACATCCCGACTTGTTTAATACCTTGGCTGTTGCACATAGTGTATGTGCTTTAATTCATCCTCAGTCCTCCTTTGAAAGCCCTATGAGCACAGGGCAGAAACGTAATTCTGGCATAAAATGGGTGTGTCTATCTGTACTTCAAAAAGTATTATGGAAATACGGCAGGCATTGTGTTACATGTTATTGTTGCTGCCAATTAGTTGTCAACATACCAAGAATAATTGAATCTCTGTTATGGAATTGGCAAATGTTACTGTTTTCTCACCAAACCCATTTTAATTCAGTCTTTTCTTGTTTTTGCTTATATATCATCCATATAATACATCCATTGCATGTGAAATTCATTAAAAACATTCACTCCCTTTGTTTTCAGGGTGCAGCCCAGAATATATTTAGGGCCCGAATTACCAAAACAGGGAATAATGCAGCTGATGCGATCTCTCCAGCTATAGTCGTTTGAACAATTATATAATAAGCAAAGGAAACAAGAATGGGCACAACCCAAAGGTCTGCACTGTTTTGTTTTCTTTTTTTTTTTTTTATTGGTCTTTCCTCCCTCGGGAATAATATCCTT